GGGGGGGGGGGGGGGGGGGGGCTTGTCATGTGACTTAGGCAAGACTTAACCAACCCACCTACAAACCCTTTCTATAGTGGCATTAATCTGTTCATGTCCTAGTCACATCCCAGAAGCCCCGCCCCCCCATGTGTTCACTGGGTATTGAGGTTCCAGCACGTGAACTTGGGGAACACATGCAGACTGTTAGCAGTGCTTATCTGAATGTTCTGATTATGCAGAAATACGGCATCTTTGAAGCGTGCTTAGATCTGTATATTGTGTATGTTATACTTCTAAAGATAGATGACTCTAATGAGAAGAAAGCTTGTGACTTGACTTATGGGTGTAGGAAAGGGTGCTTATGACATGGGCAGTGTTGGTTTGCCGAGAGGTAACAGATGGGCCGTGAGGAGGAACTGGAGTGCTGTGGGCCCACAGCTCACAGAGCCTGAGGTGTGACAGGCCTGAGGCACCCGCCAAGGCGTGCGAGTGTTGGTGCAGGCGAGTGTTGGTTCAGGGTGGCAGTCATGACACAAATCAGCATTTTGAGCCAAACGTATCCAGCCCGTCTGTGCCCTGTTGGAGCCTGAGCATGCTGGGCCTGCCCCAGGGGCCTGGGATCATGTCCTCCCTAGGCTGGGCCTCTGGAGCTGCCAGCCCTGCTCATAGATCCTCATTGTTCCCTCAGTGTCATCTGGGTGAGCCAGCAGCCCCATGGGCAGTCTCTGGGGGCCAGCGGGGGGGGCGGCTGAGCCTGAGTGGCACCCAAGCCGCCTGCGGCCGTGTGTCCCCAGGAGTCGAGCCTACCTTACCTGTGCCCTGCCTGGACCCTCTGGCCTCCTTGTTGATGGCCGGACCCAGGCCTGCCCCACTGCAGCCACCATCTCCTGGCGGGGCCCTCGCTGACTTGCTGGAGCCTTTCCTGGTGCCCATCGGCCCTGTTACGGATCTCGCCATCCCTGTCTCTCCTCCGTCTTAGCTGTCCCACTGCTGAGCACACCATATTCTGACTGGCAACTAACACAGAAAGAGACTCTGGTGTGGAAGGAAGCCCACCTTGGCTTCAGCCGCGAACTCTGTGTGAGGTCAGATGCCACCCCTTAGGGCAGGCACCAGTGACTCTAGCTGTTCTCTCTCCTGCACAGAGGAGATGCTGTGTTTGGGGGTGGGGACGCAGAGGGGCAAACTGGGGGTCTTTACACATCAAAATCATGTGTGAAATCCCGAGAAGATATAATTGAAACCAGCATGATTGCCACCCCAGCAGCCACCTAGGCCTGTCTCTGTGCTCCCTCCCGTGCTGGGCCCTGCCTGGCTGCTGTTACCTAGATAGGCTTTGGCACCTGTCTCCTGGGAACTGGCTGCCACTCTTGTGTGTGTTTCTGTTGTTACTTTTTATACGTATAAAACTGAAGTGGGCGTGTAGAAATGTTCGGTGGCATAAGATGGACATTGGGGAGCCTGCTGCCCGCTGAAGGGCCAGGGTCATCCATGCAGCCTGAAGGTGTCAGACAGTTATAGGGAATGTGCAAGATGCCCTGGATTCCTGAAAGTGGCAGAGCCTTGAAACTGGGACGGTGAGTGAAATGGCAGCTGAGGTTTCAGCCTTCAGCTTATCTTGGTGCCTGTCTCCTGTGCCACTGGGCGTTTGGCGCCTGAGGCCCCAAGTTATCCTTCTACCTGCTCCCCAGTCTCTGCCCCCACAACTGAGCAGGGTGTGTCTGGAACCAGCATTGCCTTCTGGCCCCATGGTGGACACAGCTTCATTTCCCCCAGAATCTTGTTTAGTTCCTGGCTGTCGACTCTGGAGAACTTGGTTTTATGGGCATCTGTTAGCAGTGGGGTTGTTTTTTTTTTTTTGCCAGAGTGGACATCATCGTTTTTACAGAAAATGCATATAGGATTCCAGAGTATGTGACCAGAATGGCCTCAGAGGCCACAGTCCATGTGTGATGAGGGGTGAGGAACGGCCCCTGTCCTGGCGCTCCTGGGGGCTTCCTGAGAGAGCTGCCTGGGAGCAGGAATCACTAGCAATGTGGGCACCACCCCCCTTGCTCTGGTCACTCTGAACATATGACCTCCTGTGGACTTGAGGACACCTTGGACCCAGCCCTTGGCTCTTCCGCCTTTAGAAGGGTGAGGAAATCCCTGACATCTGAGGGGCTCTGGACCCTTCCTGTTGGAAGTCATGCACGCACCCTGTGGGCTCCTGGCCCTGTGAATTAATGGGTGCCAGCTCACACACCCCTGGACGTGGCAGGGGCAGGATGGTGGCTGTCTTGGATCTGCCCCAGCCCTTGCCACATGCTGCACCAGTTTGTCTGTGCATGTTTCTTCAGTGAGTTGCAATGACTTGCAGACTGCTGTGGGTCTTCCTGATGATGTCCACTGGTAACACTACAGGTATGACCTGGACGCGTGCGACATTCAGGAGAAGTACCCAGATTTATTTCAAGTGAACTTGGAGGTGGAAGTGGAGCCTAGGGACAGGCCGAGCCGTGAGGCTCCACCGTGGGAAAACTCGAGCATGCGGGGACTGAACCCCAAAATCCTTTTTTCCAGCCGAGAGGAGCAGCAAGACATTCTGTCTAAGTTTGGTAAGACCCCACAGGTCTCTATATGCACTTGCCAGTGGCCCAGTCCTGGAATGTGTCACCATGGTAAGACCTCCCCTCCCCCACAGCCTGGCTTTGCAGGGCTAGGGTGGCATGCCAGGTGCCGTGCTCAGGCTCTATGCTGCTAAGCTGCAGGAAGTTCCAGAAACTCCTGTTGCTGGACTTTGGACAGTGCCACCAGCTAGGGAAGGAAGGAGCCCGGGAGCTGTGGTTTCCGAGCCTTTGTAAAGTGTGTGCAGCCATGGCACCTCCCACAGCCCCACGCGGCACCTGGGCTGCCTGCTGCCCCCAAGCAGGGAAATCTGGGCCTCTCATCTGAGAAGGGTCAGAGACAGAAACGCAGTGTCCTGGAGCAATGCAGGGTTTGCCCTGCAAGTGCATTTGGGTCCTGTTGCCTCTGGTCCCTGCCACACCACATCCATTCTAAACGAGACCTTTGTCTCGTACCTGCTGAACCAGCACATGGGCGTGATGTGGCAGAGCCCTTATTCCTGTGGGTGGCCCCGTTAGCGAGCTTGTCTATCCTGGTTTCAGGCCAATTTTAAAAAGGTAGTACAGGAAGCACATTGGCAGTTAGGGTTTGGGATGCAGTCTGCTGGCCACACATGCTTTTCTTCATGTTCTTGGTTTGCATTTTCCACCTTTTCTCATACGAGGATAGTTAAGTATCCTTGAAAGGGGTGTGAGTACATGTGCACACATGTGCTATGCATGTGTATGTATGATGTATGCATGTATGTGGGGTGTGTGCTGTGTGCCATGTATGCGTACATGTGTGTATGTGCGTTTGTGTCATTTAATATGAGCAGGCTTGAATGTGTGTGCATTTGAGTGGTATGTGGCATATGCATGCCTGTGTTGTGTGTGGTGTATATATGTGCATATGTGTGTGTGCTGTGCATGTATGTACACACATATGACCCAGAGCAGCTTCTGAGTGGACAGTGGGCATCTGTTCACAGAGGGGACCTTCTCCCTCAGGAAGCCTCATGGCACTGGCATGGCGTCCTGGCAATCTGGCATCAGGGACCATGAGAGCACCACCCACCCTACTGCGTACTCAGCTCTGGGGCTCAGTGCTGCCAGAGACCGCTGGTGGAGGTGGGTGTGTGCCCTGATGCCCCCCTTCTCCTGCAGGGAAGCCAGAGCTCCCCCGGCAGCCCGGCTCCACAGCACAGTATGACGCTGGAGCAGGCTCTCCAGACACCGAGCCCACGGACTCGGACTCGCCGCAGAGCAGCACAGATGCCCGCTGCTTCCTGCATACACTAGATTGGCAGGGTAGGCAGCTGGGTCCTGCACCCTCGGTGGGGGTCAGGCAGGGTTTGGGGGTGCTAGGGGCTGGGTGAGTTGTCTTGGAGGTTGGATGTGGGTGGAACCGGGGCTTCCTCAGGGATCTGCACCACCACCCCCCCTCGGCCTGTCGTCCAGTGGCTCACAAGCTCAGAGTAGTTTTCATATCATTTGAAGGCTGAAAAAGAAAGAAGTCCACAAACCTAAAATGACTGACCCCGGCCCTTTATCGAAGTCTGGGGTGTGGCTTTGAGGGGCAGGTACACAGGCCCTATCCACAGGGTCTCTGGGCAGGAGAGGAGCTAGCAGAGAGACCACCAGATCCCATCCCTTCCCAGGGGTTCCCACACCAGTCTCTGTTTATACCCTAGCTCAATTGCTTCAACCAAACACCTAGGTGTTACCACCCTGACCTGTCATCCCCAGACAGGCATCCCAAGGGGCATCACTGCACCTGCTGTCACAGCCCCCTCAGCTAGCCCAGCAAGGCCATCCCTCCTCCTGCACCTCTTCTCAGTGCTCCTTCCCTAGGTGTGTGCTATCCCCCAGGGTACTGTGGTATGTCCCCCTAGCCTGAGTTCCCAGAGGCCCTGACTGAGGCATGTGCAGAGAGAAGCAGGTGGGTCCTTGAGGCAGAAGCTGGGGCTAGAAGAAAGCCTCAGGAAGCCTCAAGAAGTTTCTGTGGTCATCAGCTGAATGCCCTGGGCCGGTGGGTGCTAAGATGGTCTGCAGGTGTGATCTCTGGTGCTGACCGCAACCCCGTGAGGCCACTGGTCTGGGCTCTGCCAAGAGCGTCCATGTAACTTCAGCCCCATCCACGTGTGGATCTAGCAGCCTGTGGTTTGGTTTCTTTTCACAGAGGAGAAAGAATCTGAGGCCGGTGCAGAAAACCCCTCCAAGGAGAGTGAGTCTGTCTTGATCGAGGACAGAGAGGACAGTGATGCATCAGAGGAAGAGTCACCAATCTCCAGTGAGGGCCAGGAGCCAGGGGCCGAGGAGGACAGGGTGGGCCTGGCAGCCAGGACGAGCCAGCAGGACTTGGTGCAGGATGTGGGGACGGTGGCCACACCAGAGCCCACACAAGAAGATAGCGTCGACCTCCTGGGGCTGCACTCAGAGGCGGATACAGGGCTGGTGCCCCCCTCACAGGCCTGCGGGGCCGCCTCCAGCAACACTGACCTGCTCAGCCGCCTCCTTGGGTCCCCTGAGGCTGTTCCTGAAGGACCCCCAGACGATCTGCTCAGCAGCGAGACCCCACTACTCCTGGCAGGCCCAGCTGCTGCCCCGAGTACACACAGCACCCCGCGAGGGGAACCCCCTGCCCCGGGTACGCATTTATGTTCCCATGGGAAACCTGCTTCGCAGTGAATGAGTGATGAGGTTTAGTCATTATTGCCACGTAGACATCTTGGAGGCACCTGAAGGAAGGGAATGGATCCCTGTGTCCTCACAGAAGCAGCCTTGGTCCCTGTACAGGTGACTGGTTCCGCTGCCTGCCTGAGCACATGAGCTGGAAGCCACAGCTCTTCCTGGCTGGGAAGGCTGTCCTGATTGAGGCTTTGGGAGGGGGGGCTTCCCTGGAGAGGGAGCTGTGTGGCCTGCCAGATAGCAGCCTGACTCCCTGAGGGGCAGCGCTTCTGACAGGAGGGGGGCTGAACTTTCTTCCCTGTCCCTACCTGTCCTGCAGTTGACCCCTTCGACCCGCTGCTGCTGTCCTCAGACTCCAACACCCAGCCCTGCTCCAAGCCTGATCCCTTTGGCGAGTTTCTCCATTCAGACTCTGGGGCCACCCTGCCTGTCTTCCCATCCACCCACAGCGCCCCGCCCCCATCCTGTGGTGCGGACTTCCTGCACTTGGGTAAGCGCCTTCTGCAGTGCATCTGCGTCCAGGGAGCCAAGGTTTCCACAGCTCTGCTGGGTCCGGGAGTTTCTGCTCCACATGGCCTCCTTCCTTAGGACAGAGCCGTGGTCTTGGGAGGTGGCGGAGCTGGTCCGTGGCCTCCTGAACTCTGGGCAAGGCCCCTGGGTAGCCTTCCCAGTGGCCCAAGCCTTCTTGAGACCCTGCAGGAGGCCTGCGGGTTTAGGACAGACACTGCTGCCTGTGCTGTCTTCTCCAAATCGCTCCTAGACTTGGAACAGGTGCTGGATCCCTACAGTACCCCTGCCATGCATGACCCACCCACGAGTGGCTCTCAAGGCCCATGCCACAGCAAGGCTTCTCTGGGCCCTGGGACTGTGGCCATGAGTAGGGACAACCACCTGTACCCATATCGTGTGTGTGGCCAAGAATCAGGGAGTCAGAGGGTCGGGTGGTTGGGGAGATGGGGTCCAGGAAGCTGGTGTGGGTAGGTGTGCAGTAAGAGGGCTTCAGGCAGGTGTCTCCGTGGGTAGAAAGCCAGGCTTCAGGTACAGCGTGGCTTGTTCAGACAGAACCTGCAGTGCCTGCCAGGGGAGGGACTGAGCTGCTCTCCCACCGTGATCCTAGGGAAAGAGTTTGGGTTCTTTCTTCCCAGGAGACCACAGTGACTATTGTGGAATGGCCTGTGGGTGGCAGTGTGGAGCACAGCTTTGCAGCATTGGGGTGGGCACCTACGGAGGGTGCAGTGTGGCCAGTGCCAGGGCAGACAGGACTCACTGGGACCCTGGGGAGGGGTACCAAGTGTGGCCACAGGTCCTATGTTCCACTGGAAGGCAGCTTAGTCATTGTCTACACTACGGCAGGCTCCACTGGGTTTTAGGAGTAGCAGGCTGGCAGGCTCTGGGGGCTCCATAAGAAAGAGAGAGAGGCCAGTCAGTGCCTCCACTCTGACTGTCAGTCCTACTTGGGATAGTGTGAGATGTTGGCCACTGGGTACCCTGAGCACAGCCCCGCTCCAGCAAAGGTGGCTATGCCACATCCCTCGGGGCTGTGTGCTTGACTGGGATTTGAGAGCATGGGGAGAAAGAGTGACAGGGTGATCCTAGGCCAGGAAGAGTGGGAACCACAGACACCAGTCATGCTCTCTTTCGGTACCTTCTTCTCAGGGGATCTGCCAGTGGAGCCTGGCAAGGTGACAACCTCTTCCAGCCACCCAGATCTGCTGGGAGGATGGGATGCCTGGGCAGAGCCTGCCACACCCAGGCCAGCACCCATGGTGGCTGCTGAAGGTATGACTGCCAGCTCAACCCAGGGCGGGCACCTGCTTGGCCTTGCAGTCTTTCTCCATTTCACATGTGATGTGCCCATGACAAGATCCCCCCCACCCAGAAAAGGAAAGAGAGATTGGGGTGCTCGGCCTTTTGCTGGTTCTGCACACAGGTGACTGTGGCAGTTGCCATACCCTCACTCACTTGCTCGTGACTGGAGTCACACACATGCTGAGAGACTGTGACCCAGTGCTGTGGCCATCTGAGTGTATCAGTGCCCACTTCCATATGGGTCCCCTTTCTCCCTTCCTTTCTTTAGGGCATGTGTACTTTATAACACGGTTTCATGCCTTGCTCGCTATTAACTGCCTGGAGCTTTCTCCTGTAATGCACCTTGGCATTTCTCGTGTCCCGTGGCTATTCTGTGCTTCTGAAGGAGAGTGTGAGGAGTGCAACTGGCTCCTGCGTGTCCTGTTGGTGCCACAGTCCATGCCACCATCCTGCCAGGGATGTGAGCAGTATGGAGCAGTTCTGTTTGTGAGCATTTGTCCTTCTCACACACCCATGGTTCCATCCTTCCGGGAAAGTTCTGGTAGGCGAAAGTGTTTGTCCAGCACAGTCAGATTTACAGGACACCTGGAGATGCTACAGGTTCCAAATACCTCAGTAAAGCCAGTCACACATGTTTCTTGATATCCCAGTGCATATGTGTTATGTTTGTACCATACTGTATAGTCTAGTAAGTGTGCAGGGACATTATGTCTGCAAAAATACATACTTTTTAAAGATGTGGGGTACAATTCAGGGTACATAAGTGGTCATTATACAGGTAAAGTTTAGGCCTCCCTTCAATCCCCACTTTGCCTGGTTTGAGATCGGGTACCCTTATTATTATGTACTCCACCCCACCCCTGGCAGTGTCCTCGTACTACCAATCTCTTTCTTTTAGTATTATGGTAAATGTTCAGAGTCTGCCTACAAGTGAGGACATGTGGTACTCAGATCTTTATTTCTGTGATAGATCACTGAATATTATAAACTGTAAATCCATCCAAGTTGCTGCGAAGTCCGTAATTTTGTTTTTCTTTATGGCTGCATAATATTCCATCATGTTTATGTACCACATTTTCTTTATCCAGTCCACTTTTGATGGTCAACATGGTTGGATCCATGTTTTTGCTATTGTGAATAATGCAATAAACATGTACAGGTGTCTTTTTTGTAGAATGATTTGAGTTTCTCTGGGTATATTCCCAGAAGGGGGATTGCTGTGTCATATGGAAGGTTGGTTTTTAGATTTTTTGTAGAATTCACCACACTGTTTTCCACAGAGGTGATACTAGCTTACATTCCCACCAATAATGTAGAAACATTCCTTTTTCTCCACATCCTCACCAGCATCTGTTGTTTTTTGAGTTATTAATGATAGCCATCCTGACTGGAGTTTAGGTGTTATGTATCTGAGTATGGTTTTAATTTGCATTTCTTTGATGATTAGAGAGACTGAGCATTTTTTCATGTATCTGTTGGCTGCTCATATGTTTTCTTTTGAGAAGTGTCTGTTCATATCTTTTGCCCACTTTTTAATAGGGTTGTTCGTTTTTTCCCTTTTGGTGCATTTGAATTCCTTACAGATACTGAATGTTAGGCCTTTCTTAGATATATAGTTGTCAAATATTTTTTCCCATTCGGTGGACTGTCTCTCCATTCTCTTGATAGTTTCTTTTGCTTTTCACTTTGATGAGGTCCCACTTGTCTATCTTATCTTTTATGGCATTCGATTTTGGAGAATTGATCAAGAATTGGTTGCCTACTCCAGTGTGCCTAAGAGTGTTTCCTAGATTTTCTTCTAGGATTTTTATAGTTTGAGGCTTTACATTTGGGCCTTGATCCATTCAGAGTTGATTTTTGTGTGTGGTGACAGGGGCCCGGTTTTAATCTTCTGCATGTGGTCACCTGGTTTTCCCAGCACCATTTACTGAATAGGTTCTCCTCTTCCCAGTGGTTTTTGGTGGAGGCTTTGTCAAAGATGAGTTGATTGCGAAATTGAGGTTTCACTTCCAGAATCTCTATCCTGGTCTGTGTGACTGTTCTTGTACTAATACCAGATTGTTTTGATTATTATAGCCTTCTAGTGGAGTTTAAAGTCTGGAAGTAAGATACCTCCTGCTTTGTTTCTTTTGATAAGGATTTTTTTGGTTATTCTTGGTCCTCGTTTCCATATGAATTTCTGTTTTGTTGTTTCCAGATCTGAGAAAAATGACATTGGTAATTTAATGGGTATTGCATTAAATCTGTAGATTGCCTTTGGTAGGATGGACATTGTAACAATGTTAGTTCTTCCAATTCATGAATATGAACTGTTTTTCCATTTGTTTGTGTCTTTGATTTTTTTTAGCAGTGTTTTGTAGTTTTCATTATAAAGGTCTTTCATTTCTCTGGTTAGAAGATGCTAAGGTATTTCATTTTTTTTTAATGGCTATTTTGAATGGGATTGTGCTTTTTATTTGGTTCTTTGTCTGTCTGTTGTTGGTGTATAAGAAAACTACCTACAAAAAAAAAACAAACCCTGGACCAGATGGCTTTCTAGTGGAATTCTACAAAACATGTAAGGAAGAGCTGATATTGATCCTATTGAAAGTATTCCAAGCAATTAAGAAAGACAGAACCCTTCCCAAATCATTTTATGAAGCTAGCATCACATTGATACCCAAACCAGTAAAGATCCAACAAAGAAAGAGAATCAAAGGCCAGTTTCCCTGATGAACATAGATGCAAAAATCCTCAACAAGATTCTAGTAAATTAGGCCAGGCTTGGTGGCTTAGCCTGTAATCCTAGCACTTTGGGAGCCCGAGGCGAGTGGATTGCCTGAGCCTGCGGGTTCAAGACCCACCCGGGCAACTTGGCGAGACCTCGTCTCTACAATAAATCAAAAATTAGCCAGGCATAGTAGCACGCGCCTGTAGTTCTGGCTACTTGGAAGGCTGAGGCAGAAGGTTTGCCAGAGCCCAGCAGGTCGAGGCTGCAGCGGCCAGGGGTGTGCCACTGCACTCCAGTCTGGGTGACAGAATGAGACTCCAACTCAAAAAAATAAAAAGATTCTAGCAAACTGGATCCAGCAACATATCTCAAAAATCATCCACTGTGACCAAGTAGGCGTCATCCCTGGAATTCAGGGTTTGGTTCATGACTGTGTGGTATTTCATCCTGTGGCTGTACAGTAATTTACCCAGCTGTTTCATAATTTAATACTTAGAATTTTCTCAAATTTGCATATGATGAAGAATGTCATGAAGAGCATTCACATTTTAGATGGATTCCAGGAAGTATTACAGAATCAGAATGATGTCAACATCTTCTGGTTCCTGGTAGAAACTGAGCCTGTTTTCCACAAGGAGCAACGGGTGTGGTGGCGGCTTCCCACAGTGTGTGCGGGTCTCATGTGCGCTTCCGCGTCTTCTCAGAGCTATACTGGTGCTGGCAGAAGGAAGGAGAGGTCCTGGAAGGGTGTTACACTCGAAGCGGCACTTCTAACTTGCCGTACCCCTTCTCCAGGCCGCATTTTCCCTCCAGGAGGTCAGCCAGCCCCTTCCGGCCCTCAGCCCAGCTGGACCAAGTCTCAGAGCCTGGACCCATTTGCCAACCTCGGCGACCTCAGTGACCTCAGCTCCAGCCTCCAAGGTAACACAGAGGGCACATCCAGGGTGTGATAGGTTTGTGTTTTTTCCTAGAGGTTTGTTCTTGTCTGCCTGACTCTGAGCTGCCTCAGGGTGAGGTTTTTGCCTTTGTTCACTGAGGCCCTGGAACCCAGAGCACAGTGACCCAGGAGCACAAGGTGTCTACTTCTGACAAGCCAAATTTCAGATTTGCTAAAACTGGTGCTGCTGCCTGCCCTTGCTGTGTCATGGTGCATGCTCTGTCCCACTTGAGGGACCAGGGCCATCTAAGAAGTGGGGTCTCTGCATGGAAGTGGGGCATGGCTGGCTCTGACCTGGCTCTGCCTGGCTGCTGAGATGTTACGCACACTGGCCAAGGGGGAGCCACTGGACGGAGCTGCCACCCTCCCCAGTCCTGCTTCTGTGTCTGCCACAGGCCTAGCCCACATGCCACAGTCCTTGCATCTCCTTGAGCTGATGTGACATACCATGGGCTCTTGGGCTTTCTCTTTGGAATGCATCTCTCTGGGGTCCCTGTGGTTCCTCTGTCTGCAGTGTCCCTTCCAGTAGCTTCTGAGAAAAAGTATGAGGGCATAATTATTATCTAAGTGTTCCTTGACTGTCGGGTGGGCATGAGGACTTCCAGGTTGGAAATCTCAGCTCTCTGGTGCTGTTAGTGCTGGTGGCTGCTGGGCAACTCTGTCATCTAGCCCCTGGTTGTGGCATCTCCTCCCACCAGAGCCTAGAGGGCTATGCTGGGCTCTCCCTATATATAGTCCCACCCAGGTGCCTCACCTTCCTCAGCTCTGGGAATATCCTTGGCCTGTCTCTTTAATTTCCTTCCTCTCCTTTTCCTAATTCTCTTGAATTCTTGCAAGCAAGTGTGTATCTCCAGGGCTGGTGTCTACTCCTTGTCTCTTCCCTCCTCTCTGTTACCTTGTGATCTCCATTGTGTCTCTGCTCTTGAGATCTTGTAGTGAGCTTTCATTCTGTTACCATGTAGTGAAGTCCCAAGAGTTTTTCATTCTTTGAATACTTTTTAAAAAAAATTAGTAGCCGGGCTCGGTGGCTCAACCTATAATCCCGCGCCTTTGGGAGGCCGAGGTGAGTGGATTGCCTGAGCCCGCGGGTTCGAGACCCGCCTGGGCAGCGAGACCTCATCTCTACAATAAATCAAAAAATCAGCCGGGCATGGTAGCGCATGCCTGTAATTCCGGCTACTTGGAAGGCTGAGGCAGAAGGATCGCTGGAACCCAGCAGGCGAGG